TTTATTAGTTTTTATTGTTATCATTACTATTTTATTATCTATCTTTATTTTTTTTTTATTCTAAATTTTTTTACTGGAATTATTATTATTATTATTAGATTTTCTTCCCCAGGCCCCGATGTGGGTCAGTGACCTGTGCCCGGGTGGGCTAATCCCAGTAAAAAAAAAAAAGAGAAAAATTAATAAAATTTTCAGCAGAGACTTCCGGTAACAACATTAATTGTACACAGATATTATTTTTACCATAGGCCTACTGTATTTTCTGGGTCATTGGATTTATGTAACAAGCAGACTCGAAGTCGGATTTTCGCCACAGCAACTTCCTCCAAACCTTTCAGGATTTCAGGATAGATTAGTTCTTGATGTATTTTTACCAAGCTAAACCTGTCTGGTAGCTGCTGAAATTTCTCATCTTCTTAGTCCTCAGATCTCCTTTCATTATTGTTAAGTTTCTCACCTCCCTCTCTCTCCCCGTTCACCCACCACCTCTCCCGTCCCTTCCCCCATTTCCCTCCTTCCCCCTTCCTCCCCCCACCCCCACCCCCAACCACCCCAACCTAATAATTGCCGTGTACTTACAAAGGCAAATGGATCTGAAAGGTTTATGAAGGCTTGTCTTTTTATACCGTACTTGTGTGACCTTTAACTTGACAGCTATCTGAAAACATCACACTTGTCATCTGCTTGTACACCACTGGTTTGTGTTAAGAGTTGGAAGCTAAGAAAATATAATAGTGTTAAGTGTATTATTGACTGAAATTGAAGTTGTCTGCATCTCCTTGTTAAAAAAAATATGCACCTTTTACAAAATGTCTTAAGAACTAGCATGAGTAAATTATATTTTCTCAAGTTAACACAAGAAATTTATATTGTCTCTAGCTACCATAAACAATTTAAAAATAAATAAGAGTCGAAAAGACCCATTGTGGTAAGTTAAAACATAATAATAATACTTCCACATGACAAAGCATCGCTGCCTTTACAATAATCTGGGCAGCAGGTAAATAACTGTATCTGTAAGTTAATTAATATTACTAAGTCATACACACTTGCTCTATATTTAGTCCCATGAGTGCCGTTAGTGTTGTCCCAGCATGTCTTGTGATGGAATGATGGAGGGAAATACCTGTGTATAATGGGAGGTATTTGGTGTGTGAAGGAGGGAGGGAGGGGGGGACAGGGGTTGGAGGGAGGGACGAGGGTGGGAGGGACAGGGGTGGGAGGAGGAGGGACGGGGTGGGAGGGAGGGAGGACGAGGAGGGAGGGAGGGACGAGGGTGGGAGGGAGAGACTAGGGTGGGAGGGAGGGACACGGGTGGGAGGGAGGGATGGGGCTGGGAGGGACGGGAGTGGCTAGATTGGCGTGTTGAATTTGATCACAGATGATAATGTAACGTGGCCAATGGTGCGCAACAAAATATGTGGCCGTGTTTAACCCGTAAAAAAGGTTAATTACGTTTAAACACAATTATTTTGATTTAACTTATCTACGCTAATAGGCTGCTGTAGCGTTCTTTTAGATTTTTGTTGTTAGTGTGCCAAACCTCTTTTAGTTACTCTCCCTTTATATATATATATATTGGTATTAAAGTTCGGATAATTATATAATAGGCGGATAAGTGAGTAGTAAAACAAAATGGAAAAAAGGACGCACTGATCTCGAGTGTCTTGTGTGGTAGCTAAAACCACTATCTGTGCAGGTGGGGGTCGATATGCTCCGAAATCTTACGTGTGACTAGTGACAGCCCTCATATACCAATATTTATCGTCCTTGGTCTCATATTGTTTCCCCACAAAGTATTCACAGATAGTTGTTTAAGCTACTGTCCATGTTAAATATTTAATCGAAATTTTGAGATGGGTTTCACACTTGGAGTAAGAGAATATATGCGAGGGATTTATTCAATGGTCCAGTGTACAGAGAGTGTGTGCCCGAGGCTGAACTGGTTAGAAGATTTACAGTAGTGGAGTTTAATATCGAGAATTAATCCCAGCTAGAAATTCCACGATATATATATACAGCATTTATCTATAGTCTTGTGTGTGGGAGGGAGTGTTGGGTAGAAAGTTAGTGGTGTAGTATAGATTATTATTGATGTTGTAGCCATTTTAGAGAAGGTTTGGTGTGTATATTGTATAGTTCTTACTGACTGGTGGGCAATGGAGTGGTTATGTTTTGACGTTGGTAGCTTGTGGTTTCGTATTAGAATTATTCTCCCTGGTGTTCATGGACTTTTGACGGGAGAGATAAGGACAGTACGGTATATATATGACAAGGTGATGGGGTGGTGGGCGTACGGCTATACGGACTCGTCACTTTGATTGTAAGTGACAAACCCTTTCCTCTTTTTAAAATTCGGAAGTCTGCTTAAAATTATGGATGCTTGCTAGTGGTGACCTGTGACCTTTTTACCTTTGTACAATTGCTGTACCGAGCTATTGCCGAGGCCGACGTGCTGTAAAATTTGGGTCAAGATCGGACTAATATTGTGGATGTTAGCCTGTGCTAATCGACAGACAAACTAAATTGACTTGTGTACAGAGAATTTACTTCCCCCCCCTCCCCTCCCCGCTTTTTCCTCGCGTTCTCTCTCTCCCTCCAGCCTAGGAACCTGTCTCACCAGTTAATCCTATATTTGGTGTCGTATAGAGCGATTGATGATTAAAATTAACCAGCCAGAATGACGACTTCCGTGGCTGCTGGGTCTGGGCTGCTTGTGTGTGTGTGTGTGCTGAATCACTAAGAGCGATAATACTCTTATATTATAAGTAAAAACCCTGTTAAGGTGCGGTCATCCTCACACTACAAGGTATTTACCATTATTACTTTGTTCTTGTTTTTATTACGCGTGTCTGTCTGTGTGTGGATACTTATATGGCTTAACACAGACGCCTTCTGTTGTATCAATGGCTATATGCTGTAAATTTATTATTGTGAAGTGAATTCTGTTAGTTTTGGTAGAATCCTGACTTTTATATTAATTCGTAAATGGAATGGCTTACGTTTCGCAGTAGTAGGTTTTCAGCGACCCAGAGAGCTGTTGTGGAGGGAGCTGAGTACTAGGGTTTGGAGACTTAGCCTTTGGGCGTGGGACTAACGTGTTTTTCCTCATTAGGCGTGAGACGTGAGGGTGTCATGCACGTCACCCTGTGCAGTGGAGGGAGTGGGGTCTCTTGCTCTCCTGACCCTGAGTATTGGTGGGGGTGAGGGGCGAAGGGGAGGGGTTCTCACTGTCGTCTTTCATCCATCACCATCATCCACGAGTATTGGTCACCATCACTGTAGGTTCATTATCTAACCCCTCAGAGGCGACCACACGTTTTTTCTCACCTTAGGCCGCTGCTTCTCGCCTTGAGGGTCGTGAAGGTCGGAATAAAATACAAAATCTCTCCGACGTGGCGGTGGTGATGGTGGTAGTTGTGGTGATGTTGGTAGTGGTTGTGGTGATGATGTTGATTGTGGTAATGACGGTGATAGTGGTGATGATGATTGTGGTAGTGGTGATGCTGGTAGTAGTGGTGATGGTGATTAGTATTAGTGGTGGTTGAGATGATTCAAGACCCCCGGCGTCACCTCCCCGATATTTATCAGTGTTCTTGCGACCTTATCAGAATTCCCACGACCCTACTCCCTCCCTCCATCCCTCGGCAGTCACCTTGTAACTCAGCCACTTTCGACTTATCATTGAAGTGACCCTATGTACACCTAGTCTTACCTCTCCTCTTGTGTGGATCAACATTGGTAATTCAGTGTTTTTTTTTAATAGTTATCTTGTGTAATTATATCCTATGGGGTATTTTTGCTTTATTTCACTTTTAACACTGCTGTAGTTTTAGTGTATGGTTGCCAAATAGCTGTGTAGTGGTTTTTATTGTATGATCCCACGCAGCTGTCGTAGTTAATCTTGAAGAACTTGCCACTCCTCCCTTACTCCTACCCTCCCCTATCTCTCCCCCATCCACTATCTCTCCCCATCCACTATATCCCCCTCCACCCCCCCGTAGGATATGATAATACACAAGATTTTTTACTTTTGTTTTTTTCCTCTTGGTCGAAGTTGAAGAAACGAAGGTCTGGTCTTTTTATTTATTCTCTCGACCCCTTTGTTGTGGGATCAGAGGGGCTTTTTGGCATGCTTTCACTTCCACCCCAGCATTAATTACACTCCCCACCACCTCCTCCACCTTCTGGCTGTGCATTATGAGTGGGGATTATGGAATACCTCCTTAGTGGGGGATTATGATGGTTCTCAGTGGGATTATAAAGTACCTTAGTGGGTATATTTAGTGTTTAGATGGAGGTATATATATTGCCCTATTGTTAGCATGTCCCATTGGTTTATTTGAAACGCTGGGGCTTATCAATGGGGATTACACAGAGCCTTATTAGTGGGGATTACACCAGAGCCTTATAAGTGGAGATTACACAGAGCTTTATTAGTGGGGATTGCTCAGAGCCTTATTAGTGGGGATTGCTCAGAGCCTTATTAGTGGGGATTGCTCAGAGCCTTATTAGTGGGGATTACAACCAGAGCATTATTAGTGGAGATTACACAGAGCCTTATTAGCAGAGATTGCACAGAGCATTATTAGTGGGGATTTCACAGAACATTATTAGTGGGGATTACACAGAGCATTATTAGTGGGGATTACACCAGAGCCTTATACAGTAAGTGGAGTTTACAGAGCTGTATTACCAGAGATGACACTGCCTTTATAAGTAGGGATTACACAGAGCTTTATTAGTGGGATTTAAACGGCGTGACTTTGTGGGTGTTTCACAGTGCATGAGTAGTGAAGTTTACCGTTAACTTTTCTTGATTAATAACTTCGGTATATATAGGTGTTGCAGGTGTGTGTGTGTGTGTGTGTGTGCCTGTCTGTCTGTCTGTCTGTCTGTCTGTCTGTCTGTCTGTCTGTCTGTCTGTCTGTATGTCTGTCTGTCTGTCTGTCTGTCTTTATTCCCTACAAGGTGATGAAAGCGATGCTGTTGTGTTGCAGGTGTGTGCGAGGACGGGTGTGTGGAGATGCGTGCCGCCCAGGACTACGAGGACCAGTTCTCCTACGAGCACGAGATCATCCACGTTCGGCAGGTGCACTCCGTCAACGACATCCCCCGCAGGAGTGGCCGGACCAGAGGCGCCCAGGCCGGCTCCCCTACACATAGTAACGAGGTAAGTAATATTTAGTTCACCTGTGATACCACCTGCCATCCTCCTCCCCATGCCCCACCCCACCCCATGTTACTTCACCTGTTAACGTCATTAAAGGTATTTCCACAACCTTCCACACCAGCTTCCATCATGTTGTAACCAGTGATGCCAATTAATAGAATTTATACGATGAGACTGAATTATAAACCAAAGTTGTACAAGGTTATTGTTATTGGTTCATTATTTGTGTTACGTATTTCATAAAAAAAATAAATAAAATAAAAAACTTTTAGGTAAACAAAAACACTGAATCTCAAATTTAATGTTATGAAGAAAACGTTTTATCAGAATTTTTGTCTGTGTTCAGTAATACATTTTTTATGTATTAATTAGTATGGTATTGTGTTATACAAACCACTCCAAATCGCTCACAGGTGTCCTTTAGTGCAATATTATACATCATGTACAGTATTATGAATGTGTAGCAATTGGCACAACCTTATGCTGTTAATGTGTACCAGTGTCAGACATAAAGGCAGCTAAGGACTTCCAACTAACCTGGAGCACTTATAAGGACCAACTAAACTGGAGTAGCTCTAAGGAGCAGCTCTAAGGACCAACTAAACTGGAGCACTTATAAGGACCAACTAAACTGGAGCAGCTCTAAGGACCAACCTAAACTGGAGCAGCTCTAAGGACCAACTAAACTGGAGCAGTTCTAAGGACCAACTAAACTGGAGCAGTTCTAAGGACCAACTAAACTGGAGCAGAGGACCAACTAAACTGGAGCAGTTCTAAGGACCAACTAAACTGGAGCAGTTCTAAGGACCAACTAAACTGGAGCAGTTCTAAGGACCAACTAAACTGGAGCAGTTCTAAGGACCAACTAAACTGGAGCAGTTCTAAGGACCAACTAAACTGGAGCAGTTCTAAGGACCAACTAAACTGGAGCAGTTCTAAGGACCAACTAAACTGGAGCAGTTCTAAGGACCAACTAAACTGGAGCAGTTCTATCCACCAGCACTATGACTCTTGACAGCTTCAACAATTGGAACGAACGAATGACTTCCCCGGGAATTAATCTTGAAGGTGTTGGTGTGAAGGGAAAAAGACTGGACAAAAAGTGTTGAGTGTTCCTCACAATGGTCTTGACCGTGGCACCTCGGCCGTATATCTTTGATAACCGGCTGACTTACGACCCCACACCCTACCTGACCTACACGCTGATTACCTGACCTCCCGTGCCCAGGTATATACCATAGAGCACATTTCAGCGAGAGTACACGCGAGGGTATACACAAAGGCGTTAGTCCCTTTCTTCTCGTATTGATGGTCTGGTGGGGGTGATTGGTTAAGATCACTCAACCAATCAAAGTGTCATCCTCAGGTCTGAAGTTTGGCAACCACCGTCCGCCCCTAGGCTGTTGTTACCAATCTTCCCTGATTTTCTGTTATTATCTCTTCATCCCTAATTATATGGCCAACGTATCTAATTTTCCTCATTCTCGAAATTTCAAGTAATTGTCTTGATGTTTTTTTGCCAATCTTATTACATCTTCATATGTTTTCCTGTCAGTGTCCACGCTTCTTACCCAAACAACAACAGCAGTCTTAGGTTATTAAATGCTGTTTTTGATGGACCTTTTTTCCCATATCTCCCATCACAAAACTGTATATTACTTACTAGGTACATAAAGCTTTCCACTCGTTTAACTCTCCTATTCACTACCATCACATTTATTTGGGAATTTATTTATAATTTGTAAACGACCAGTCTTAACACAACATTAAACTCTTAACCCATATTCTTCTTCACTATCCGTGTAGAAGTATGAATCAAGTGCTCCTGAAACACCAATCTCATTATTAATCGACAGTAAGATGGATTTAAAGAATATAATTAACTTAAAATGGAAAATAATGTCACTAAATACACAGACTCAAGTTTGAACAATACAGCCAAGTAGATTATTACAAACCAGAAAGTAGATGATGATATAACCTTGGAAGTGACAAGTAACCACCCCATCACCCCTCCCCACCCCCTCCCCTCCCCAACCCCTCCCCATCCCACCTCACCTCACCCTCCTCAACCCTACCTCTCCCAACCCTCCCAACCTCCCACCCTCCCAACCTTCCTCAACCTCCCTAACCCTCCCAACCCTTCCCAACCCTCCCAACCCTTAATTATATATAGGGTGATTTTGTGCTTTTTAACAATGACAATTCACACCAGACCTTCAGTACAGTACATAACCTACTCATTGTTGTCTTCCAATCGAGGTGAGGATACTGTGTGTGTGTTGGGGAAGGGGGGGTGTCGGCACTGAATGGCGGAACTGTGTAATTATCTGATAGGTCACGCCGGAAACTGATCTGACACTCCGATGTGATTACCCCGTCACCCAGCCACTCATCCACCAGGGCCCCGTCACCTAGCCATTCATCCACCAGGGCCCCGTCACCCAGCCACTCATCCACCAGGGCCCCGTCACCCAGCCACTCATTACCCAGGACACCATCACCCAGCCCAATCATCCACTAAGACCCCGTCACTCAGCCACTCATCACCTGGGCTCGTTGCTGTCAGCCGTGTACCGTGTAGGGCGTTAGACAACCACCAGATGGAGCGGGGGGGGTGGGGGGGTTGAGGGTGTTCTTCGTATTGACATTAAATCGTTCAGGCTGGAAGGCAAATGTGTTCAAGTCCTAAAAGGTCACCTAACCTAACCTAACTTAACTTAACTTAAGTTAACTTAACCTCTAGGACTTTAGCCTTTAAAAAAAAAACACGAAATTTTCACCCTATATTTAGAATGACACGGACATGAAATGTAATTAATCGTGTTTTCTTTTTGTTAACCTGTACGTAGACGCTAACCCGCGGTCCTTCAATAAAGCTTAAAGTACAGTGTATCTATTATCCCACCCCCTCCCCCCGCTAGAAGGGTCCCATGGCTTCACATGCATTTGTTTTCCCACGAGATGAAATAAAGAGCAGTAAAGTCAGGTGCTTTGTCTAAGTTCTGCCCACTGTGACATTCCTTTTAGTGTACAGTAAATATATATCTGGGAGTGGATTTTCAAAGTGTCGAATGGGGGCTCCCTCTCCCCCCCCCCCTTAGCTAGGAAGCAGAGAACGCATCTGTATATGGTTTAGTTTCAGTAGGGTTTCGATACCTTTTCAATCATCATCTTTTGGTTTAGCTTTAAAAGAAAAAGGTGGCCAATTTTGATTCGTTCTTACATCCCCGAGTGCTACGGTGTGTAATCAATACTTATTCTTTCTACGACTACACTAGTGACTTTGATTGACTGACTGGCGAGGCTGATCCTTTTGTGGAGGGAAGACCATCGATTTTTTTTCTTCGCTTAACCAGACTTTGCATTGTTGAAAAAAATATTCAAACTTGGCTGCATTTTCCCCCACTGCTTAATATCCGGTTTACGAGGAAAAAAAACCCCTGCTTCCTGAGGACTGTGATTAGTACAGGTAGGATCAGAAGACGCGGTGCAGGGGAGGGTGTGGGGGGGAGGGGGGGTGTTCGCCGGCCTCCCTGGCTGAGGACGTTGTCGCTCAAGGGGTAAAAACCTGGCGGAGGCAGACGACCGCGACCGCTCTGATGCACGACTCCATGACAGTTAGTGGCTGTACCGGCAATTTATGCCAAGGTAACGAGCAATAACCCGCTAGTTTGAAGCAGGTGTTGCTATACGGAATATTTCACATCACAAGGTTGCAACGTAGTTGTGCCTCGTAATAAGGTGCATAAAGGTAAATTTAAAGTAATTGGGAGCCTCCGTATCCATCCACAGTCGCTAATGTCATCATATTCTATTGTTAAACATTATCAGATTACATTTCCATCCAGTACGTTACGATAAGGTAATTGCCAGTATAAGACTCTCGCCATTGTTCAGGGAGTGTTGCGTACGCTTGAGTCACATGAGGATATGAAGATTTACAGTACCATAAACAGTAGGAAAAATATCTCATCTTTCCATTCTAATTAATTTGGCTGATAAAAATATATATATGTGTGTGTGTGTGTGTGTGTGTGTGTGTGTGTGTTACAAAAATATCCCTGAAAATTTCCTAAGATTGCGTCCAAAAACAACGCCTTCGGAGTTAAATTGTTGGACTTAAAGCGCAAAGTTGAAGAGACACACAGGTATTAATAATAATAATCATAATAATATTAATGATGATGATGATGATGATGATGATGATGTGTTTTACTAGATATACATAACAGTACATATAGTCAGGAATAACTTATCATTTCTAACTGAAGAAGAAAAACAATACTGAAGTCCGTGCACGAGAGAGAGAGAGAGAGAGAGAGAGAGAGAGAGAGAGAGAGAGAGAGAGAGAGAGAGAGAGAGAGAGAGAGAGAGAGGATGTCTCCACGTAATAGGACAGGTTTAATTATTATCAGTTTCTTCAATTAACAGATTACCAAGAAGTCTCGTTGATTAATTCTTGTTTTTGTTATGTTTTCTTGTTTCTCCGCTTATCACTTCCTCGTTTATATTGTTTTATATTTTCTTCGGTTATTACTCTGGTTTAAGTAGAGAATTACTTCGTTAATCTTGTGGAATTTGACTTTATATTAATTTAACTGTGGTGTTGTGTCGGTTTTCATAATAATTATCGTTTTGTCTGTGTGTCTACACGGTTTTCACGTGTTATCCGACCATAAGCGTTGTATTTCATCCAGTCATCCGTTCGTTCACTTTGTCATCCATCCAGCCAGTCATCCGTCCGTTGGGGACTGGGTATAAAAGCTTCATTTGTTTGACCAAGGTCATAGTCACAGAACCGAAGGTCATATGGCCGGTTTGGTTTTAAGCTGTAGACTTTGACCTTCAGCTTCACATTCTGACCTTCAGCTTCTAAATGAATCTTAGGATTTTCGCAACAGTCTTTATCATAGTTTAATACCATATAACTTTGTATAGTTTCAGTTTTCCGGGCAGATCATTTTGGTTATAGACTAATTATTTTAAGTTATTTTATTGGTTATGGCAGAGTTGTCAACAATATGTGGTTTTGATGTTTCAGAGTGTTGGTCCACGGAAGAAGCCCCGGCTGGCCTCCCTGGGTATAACAGGAGGCGGGGGCGCGAGTGCCAGCGGTGGCTCCAGCACCATGAGCAGTCAGCGGCTGGTGCGAGCCTCCAGGACCTTCTCCTCCACTGACACGCTGCGGGAGGTCCAGAACTTTGTGAGTGACCTACCCATGTTGTGTGTTTCACCAGGGAGTTGTGTTGGCGTCTGAACCTCACTTCCACACTACAATGTTTAGAAATCTAGCTTATTTTGATCTTCAATATTTATAATGATGTCTTCCTCCTCTATCTCTTCTTTTCTTTGCTTAGAATTTTTTCAATACTTATTTACTTAATAATATATATGTACGTATTAAACAAAACCCCATCACTGAAAGTAGAATATTGATGTACAAATTAAATAACATGTCTTTGTTTACTGTACAATGGTGTGCACTTCATATCCCAGTAAGAGGTCATTTATCCCTCTGTGTCTTGGTCAGATCTCGGCGCGGACGAATATCTGGCCAATCCTTCAGACGTTGTGGGTGTGTGAGGACGACCAGCCCACCCAGCTTACTGACGACCACCGCGGCATGACCCTCAACGCCCTCAGAGTCCGCCCCGGTGACACCATCTACTTCAAGGCCGCAGTAAGTACACATAACACACTCTGTATAACATTACTTGAAACGCTTCTACACTAGGTTGTAAAATATTCGCCTTGAACCTTCTTGAATTGTGCCAGTGTGGTGAAACCTTATCCAAATTAATGATAAAAGATTTAAACCGACAATTTTCAAGGTTCTGTTGTGTTTTGTGTTATATTGACCAGAGTTATTACATGAACATATTGCCTGGAGTGTTACTAAGTATATCCCCAGGCGTAATTTCTTCTGAAGAATCTGATTGAAAGAATAGATTAGCCACATTTTCAAGTGTGGTTTTATAGGAGAGAGTAATACGCATTATCTCTTCAAAGTTACGTAAGGAGCATATATAAGTGTCAGTTTTGTGTGAACGTTTTCTTATGTAGTACTCGAACGTTTTCTTATGTAGTACTCTGATGTTTTCTTATGTAGTACTCTTTAGCGTTTTCTTATGTAGTACTCTTTAACGTTTTCTTATGTAGTACTCTGATGTTTTCTTATGTAGTACTCTAACGTTTTCTTATGTAGTACTCTTATGTTTTCTTATGTAGTACTCTAACGTTTTCTTATGTAGTACTCTTATGTTTTCTTATGTAGTACTCTTTAGCGTTTTCTTATGTAGTACTCTGATGTTTTCTTATGTAGTACTCTAACGTTATCTTATGTAGTACTCTTATGTTTTCTTATGTAGTACTCTAACGTTTTCTTATGTAGTACTCTTATGTTTTCTTATGTAGTACTCTAACGTTTTCTAATGTAGTACTCTTTAACGTTTTCTTATGTAGTATTCTGATGTTTTCTTATGTAGTACTCTAACGTTTTCTTATGTAGTACTCTTATGTTTTCTTATGTAGTACTCTAACGTTTTCTTATGTAGTACTCTAACGTTTTCTTATGTAGTACTCTAGCGTTTTCATGTAGTCTTTAACGTTTTCTAATGTAAGTAATTTCTTAACGTTTTCAGTACTCTTCTTATGTTTTCTTATGTAGCAATTTCTAACGTTTTCTTTATGTAGTACCTCAACGTTTTCTTATATAGTACTCTATTGCTTATGTAGTTCTTCTTTAATGTTTTCTTATGTAGCACTCTAACGTTTTCTTTATGTAGCAATTTCATTGCTTTCATATAGTACTCTTAACGTTTTCTTATGTAGTACTCTTTATGTAGTACTCTTATGTTTTCTTATGTAGTACTTTATGTTTTCTTTATGTAGTACTCTCTTTTACGTTTCTTATGTAGTTCTTTTAACGTTTTTACAGTATTCTTTAACGTTTTCTTATGTAGTACTCTTATGTTTTCTTATGTAGCACTCTTTAGCGTTTTCTTATGTAGTAATTTTATGTTTTCTTATGTAGTACTTCAACGTTTTCTTATGCGTAGTACTTTCAACGTTTTCTTATGTAGTAATTTCTATAGTTTTCATGTATATTTTTTAGCGTTTTCTTATGTAGCACTCTTCTTATGTTTTCTTATGTAGTACTCTAATGTTTTCTTATGTAGTACTCTAACGTTTTCTTATATAGTTTTCTTATGTAGTTCTTTAACGTTTTCTTATGTAGTACTTAACGTTTTCTTATGTAAAACTTATTGCTTTTCTTATATAGTACTCTAACGTTTTCTTATGTAGTTCTCTTTAACGTTTTCTTATGTAGTACTCTAACGTTTTCTTATGTAGTACTCTAACGTTTCCTGATGTTAGTACTCTAACGTTTTCTTATGTAGTACTCTAACGTTTCCTGATGTAGTACTCTAACGTTTTCTTATGTAGTACTCTAACGTTTCCTGATGTAGTACTCTAACGTTAATATCCTTAGTCTCAGGTAGTGGCTCTTTGGCAGGACATATTTCTAGATCAGATGTCTAATTTGTTTCCATTTTGTAGCAGTTATTCATTGTTGATTGAATGTTACGCGTTTGTTCTTGGCATAATTTATGAATTCTTGTGTTTAGCTTTAAAGTTTATTATACAGCCCGACTTGAATATTATATTATTTCTCACAATATTGCAGGATATATATACATTATTATTGTAACTGTTTGCAGTTCATTGTAGAAATTATTTATGTATCCTGTTAAGTGAAGTCGTCTTAGTTATCATGATTGGCAGATTTATAATGTCTTAAACTCGAAACTTATGATAGAAAAATACAGTCATGTTGATGTATCTCTTTGAAACATGATATACTACTTGTTAGAAATATATTACCTGTACGGCGAATTCTTCATCACATTTATCATACACCCATCAGAGGGGGATTTATTCTGCGCTTAGAACTCTCTCTTGTCATATTCTTTTGTTCCATCACCAAGAAACAGACAAATGTGTAGCTAAACTATTCCATCTTACAACCCAACACCCTATATTTTATTAGGGGTCTGGTACGTAAATGGTGGAGGTTGAAGGTTGGGATATATAATTATTCAGGTATTTCACTGTATTGTAGAGCATATTATCTCGTTGTTCTGTCATAATTTAAATGAATAACAACGTTCGTCGGCTATAATCTAGATGTATATGTTTGTGTAGTCTTAGGTAGATGCCAAGTGTCGAGGGAATTTTTGGTTGCAGTTGTATAGTCAAGTATCTCTCTCTCTCGACGTGCATCTTTAGATCACCTGTTTAGATGACCAAACACCTTGACTGGGTTTGCATCAGTGTACGTTTGTATGTGAAACAACTCTTCTTATTATTAATTGCACCATCGGTGTGCCTTACATTACTAACAACGTTATATTGTTAACATTTTGATACACCAAGACTCTTATAACAGTGTCACGACTGAAAGGATGAGGCACTGAACTGTCGTTATTTTTGTTTGTTTGTTTAGTATCCATAGAGCATAACAAAGGCCTTACTGTGACGGGTGTCAGGAATAAGAATGCCTGGAAGTGTGTCATCACGGGTCACTTGGTCGCGCCAGTGTGTGTGTGTGTGTGTGTGTGGCGGTCAACCAGCCTAAGGCCTTGAGGGTGGTCGCCCCACACCCTCAAGTTTTTGTCTTGTGTATTGTGAGTTAGGGTTATCGTGCACACTTGGGGTGGGGCTCGAGGACGGTGGCCAGACAAGGGAGAAAGTTTCCAGAAGGGAAAATCCAGGTTGTGATGTTACAGTGCGTGTGTGTGTGTGTGTGTAGGTGTTTGTGTATGTGTCTATGTGTGTTTGTACCACTCTGATGTCAGGATAGGGTCCCTAGAGATGGTCAGCACGTCACCTCTGCCCCTCGCTCTCTCCTCTCTTTCTCCTAAAAAAAAAAAAAAATCTCATTAGAAAAAATAAGCGAGAAAGTTGGAGGGGGGAAGGCTGAGACCGCCCACCAGAGCTTAGAGCTACACATTGTATCTAACGGAGGTTCTGATGTATAATATATTGATATGAAGTGAGTTATGCATACTTGCGCTTATTATCATATTTTACGTTAGAACTCGTGATTCTTGATCAAATGCGAAATACATAACATTGAGGTCAGAGAGTAGGCGTGAACCACTGACAGTAACAAGCCTCAAAGTAAACACGATGTAATACTAGTATATGAGACAAAAAAATGATTGAAAACACACTGGTATCCTCTCCACCAATATAGGGGAAAAGATCATTAAAAACACGTACAATCTCACTACTAGAGAAAGAGTTCAAACGCCATGTCAGAGGTGTACGATAGAGCCGTTGATTATATTCTAACATTGATATAAAAAGAGGAGAAAAGTTTTGCGTGTGGTAAGAGAGCTTTTAAAAGTGCAGAGGTGACGGCCTGTTTTTTTTATTAGAATACTTTATGACTGTAGGATGGAGTTGCAGGGTAGAAAGGTGTCGCTGTGACTGTAGGATTGAGTACACAGTAAAAAGGTATCACTTTGACTATAGGATGGCGCTTTGACTGTAGGGGTGAGTACACAGTAAAAAGGTGTTGCTGTGACTGTAGGTTGTCGCTATTGACTGTAGGGTGGAGTAACTGTTATGGTAGCGTGTATTTTAAAGAATATACGAGTAGGATGTGCAGTAGAAGCAGATGGCAGAACCTTCCTACACTGACGAGGTTGGAGTAAGCCGTGTGCACAATGTCTTTATAGAGGACGCTAAAGGGTAAACAGTGTGGTCAATAAAAACAATAGAGATTTAATTGGTATTAGAACTGGAAGGTAGAAGAACAGTTGCTTAGAATAAGGTGGGCCATAATATAAGGTGGGCTAAACAATAAGGTGGGTTAAACAATAAAAGGTGTGCTAAACAATAAGAAGTGGGTTAAACAATAAGGTGGGCTAAGCATTAAAGTGGGTTAAACAATAAAAGGTGGGCTAAACAATAAGAAGTGGGTTAAATAATAAGGTGGGCTAAGCAATAAGTTGGGCTGAGCATTAAAGTGGGTTAAACGATAAGAGGTGGGTAAACAACAAGGTGGGTTAAACATTAAGATAGGCTAAACATGAGGATGGGTTAAACAATAAGACATGGGCTAAACGATAAGAGGTGGGCTGAACAATAGTGTGGGTTAAACAATAAGAGGTGGGCTAAACAATAAGAGGTGGGCTAAACAATAAGATATGGGCTAAACAATATGTACTGGGATTAATCGTAACAATGAAATGCTGGAGAAAACGTCCAGTCTGTATTTTTTTTTCTTATCGTAACGGGTTTTTTTTCCGAGAATCGTTTTGTTTGTGTGTCAAATGCTGTGTCGAATATGTGGATACTGTATATAGTAATATAGTGTCGTAAGCTTTAATTAAAAAAACAAACACTATTTTTCCTTAACTTATCCCATCGACCTTTGACCTTGCAATTGGGGTCGCTTTAGTAATGCTTCCTCTCTCGTACCCATCAACAGTCTGTATTCTGAATCTTAGTAACATGTAAGGTTGCAACTTTTCCTTAGTTTAATGATGAACTTTTCAGCCTTACAATATGAGATTACTTTATTAAACCATCCGCATATATTACATAATAATTATATAAACAAGTATAAAAGTTCAAAGTTCAAAAGTTCAAAGATTGGTATTTCATTTT